ACCTTCTTTATCAGTGAGGGGGGAATCAGCCGGAGCAGCATGGAGACCAAAGCAGTGAGCAAAGACAGGTTCTTCATTGTCCTCCGTGGGAAGTCGAGGAAAGGTTTCTGTCGCGGCTGTATCGGCCGCGTGGAGTCGGACACTGGGCGCGGGGAGCTGATGGGGCTCATGTACGGCTGCGGCTCCATCGCGGGGAGTCCTAAGAGCGGGGGCTTGGTGAAGGAGGAGGACACCTACCCTCTGACCCGACACCAGGCCCAGCTGCTGCTCTACATCTCCAGCCCCAGTAAACGCCTGGAGCTGCTGTGCAACCCTCAGCTGTTCGCAGCCATCTGCGAGCTGTCTCAGGGCGACCTGGTGGTGATGAGGCACAAGAGTGGCAACCTGCCAGGTGTGGTGAAGAACCTGATGCAAATAGGAAAGAAGGATAAAAAAGAAGACCTGAGCATGCTTGGCTTTGAGGTGGAATTTCTGGTGAGTTTTTATTTTTTTTGCAAAATGAATTCAGAATGTGTGCAATTCATATTTCGAATGCACTCATTTAAATGATGAGCATCAGGGGCGGAGCTAGATGGGGGGCCACGGCCACCCTTAACCAATCATTGGCCACCGCTACCATTTTTTCTCTCTCAAGTAAAATATTAAAAACATTTTAATTTTATATATATTAACAATTTCCTGACAACAAAAACATGGTTGTTAATTATGCACATCAATATACCAACATTAGAGAAGATTAGTACAGAATTCATGCTCTTTCAGAACTAGATTTTGTGTTATATGCAGTAAAGAGAAAATTATGTGTCTCTGCAAGTCATCTAAGAGTCTTCAGTGAAATCATAGATACTATAAATAACAATTTTAATAAAAACCTATTAAATTATCAATTTATGTAGATATTAGTACTTGTAAATATCAATTTAATGTAGAATGATATTGATAAAAGTAGGTAAGTAATGACGATGGAAAAGATGTTCGCCCCAGATTTTATGTAGATTTTATCTACTATACCTTTTATCAATTTTTAAATATATGCATCTATTTGTTAGCAAAGTTAGCAAAACTATAGTTAGTCTTTATTTAGAAATATGGACATTGTGCTTGTTCCTGTTGGAACAGTGTAGATTGACCCTGAGGTTCTGCCTATCAACTTCCGGCCTCCCCTTAGTATACATTGGTTATTGCCTGGCCACCCTTATAAAACATTTTTCGCTACGCCTCTGATGAGCATGTCAAGTGATTTTTTTTTTTTTAGTAGCTAAGAAACAAAATATTATTTGCCGAATAATATTCTGTGCAATCATTTTCCTCAGATCTGTGCACTTAAAGTGATTTGCTAAATAGCTGCTTTTGTCTGTTTCATGTTAAAGGAAAACGAAAATAATTTATTGTCCAAGAAAGTTGCCCCCCTGCCCATTTTCACTGCTGCAGACATCATCCAGGTGATCCCATCACATGCTGCCCCCCTCGGACTGCACTATAGAGATATCAAAACTGGCAGTAAGTTCAAATTCTGATGATACTGGAATACTATGAAATATAACATTTTGTTTTGATAATCAACCTGATGGAAAAAATGACCCCAGCTCTAAAATGATTACAATTTAATCTAGCACCAGTGAGTTGCAAGAAGATGCCGACAAAGAGGTTGTTAATACAACCAGAAAGACTGGTTCTGTTCCTCTGGAATGTGAGACAGTAGATATGTCACATGCTCTTACATTTTTTGCAGATGGTACATATGAAACTATCTACATACCTTCCTTCTAGCTGTGTACATACAGTTTCTTAGAAAAGTATTCACACCCCTTGATCTTTTCTCAACATTTTGTCATGCACTACTGCAATATAATTTAGCAGCTTTCTTTCACCTTCAATAGTATAACTGTTTTGTTGAAAGCCCCAATATTATGGAAGAATTTGGTTGAAAAAAAGAGAATTATGAAAGCTAAAGAAGGGTCCTAGAGAGGGAAAACTTTAAATCAAGGTCTGATTATTAAGCTTTCATAAACTTTAATGATCTCAAAGAAAAATACTCAGACCATCAACTGAAAATGAATTAGGTGTAGCTCCACTGTGAGTCTACCGACACATGGCTGTCAACCAATACTGATTAACATTTACAGAGAGAATACAAGATATAAACCCTGAAAAGAGTTTCCTAACAGAAGTTACAGAGTTGGGCCTTTCTTCGGTGAGACCAGGGAAGCAATGGTGTCCTTTTTCGTCCACTTCATACCACTTCATCTTATTTACAAACTTGCATAAAATTCCGTTGCTGTTCTGCCAACTTAAAAAAAAACAACAACCCACAATTGTCGTGTTTTCATTAAATGAGTAGTGATATCCCGTTGTTGAGTATCTTGTGGGCTAAGAAAAAAATCCTCTCATTTTATTTTTGTGTAATACATATGTTTATGGTATATAGAAATACAGCTGTTCTGTTAATATGTCTAGGCCTGTCAAATAAAATGAGCATTTAAAAAAATAAAGTTTGTGGTTTTTGAGATAAAGTATGATAGTCTTAAGGAGCTGTTGGAGCATAGAGGAGCAATTAGAGGCCGGTTGACTGTTGAGTTGCCAAGTCATGAGTCCGACAGATAAAAATGTAATCTGACTCTTTTACTCTTCCGACTCACACATCCGCCTCTCTGTCTAAAGGTCCTGGTAAGAAAATGATGATGCGCATAAGCTCCATGCCAAATGTTGGGACAAGCCCAAGACGAATCAGAGAAAAACAATCGGAGCAAAGCATCATTAACTACCAGACCCCGAGCCCATCCCCTGGACCTCTGGAGGTGGGATCCTTGGTGGAAGTCGTTAACAACCAAGGGATCACAGTGTATGGAGTGATCCGGTGGATGGGGATCCCGGAGGGCAAGACGGATACATGGGCTGGAATTGAACTGGTAAGGAGGGTTTCAAATTTTAATAAACGTGCTGCTCTTTTTTTTGATAAGACTGATGATTATGTTTATTTTACCATTTTGCGGTTTCAGGACATTGAAGTGAAAGGCTTCTCTGATGGGGTGTACAAAGAACGGAGGTACTTCACCTGCAAGGGCAACAGCGCTTTGTTTGTTCCCATCAAAAAGTGTAGCCCTGACAGCAGGTTTGTCAGTTCCTCCCCAGTAACAGAGACTTTCAAAACTACAGAAGTTCCTTCAGGTTTGTTGCTTTTCTTGAAATTGTGCAAATACGACTGAAATTACACATTTCTTTATACGCATCACAGTTTTAAACCAATGAATTATTGTTAAATCTAAAGATTTAAGAAGAAAAACTGCAGTGTTGCTGTACAATACAATAGAAATTGGAATAATTACTCCACATGCATTCAGTCTTTTTGTTGTCAGCACCAATGGATTCTCAGTCACAAAAACAGCTTTCACTGCAGTATCTTTACAAGTTCCACGCATTTGCTCTCAACATGGCAGGATCGTATTTCCCAATACTAGACCCTGCTATATTGATATTGAAGAGCGATGCGTGTTGTCAGGGTTACGACAAAGTGATTTAAATGTGTTCTCTCTTTGCGCTTTCTTCAAAAGAATTACTGGAAAACAGGTTTCCTAATAAAATGTACTTTATGCTATGGAATGTAAGAACGGCTGCAAGGAGTGCAGCTGGAATGCAGAGTGAACAGCTTCTCAGGGTGCCGCTATTGTGAAAATTGTTTTCTTAAAGGTCTTGTGGAGGGTGCAACCTGTCAGTTGCTTTACAGCTGTATGTAAATGAGTCATGTTTTTTTGGTGAGCAAGTTGTTTCTCAGTCATTATAATTTCTCATAAGTTATGTTATGCTATGTACCAGAACAGTCAAATATACCCTCATTTTAAAGCTACTGCCACCATGCTTCACAGCTGTTATGTTTTCTGTCCTAACGTGTCTCCCCTACACTTCACTTTAACCAGAACACATTTAACTTGTCAACTGGAATTTTGAAATGATGTTTAAATGTGTTTATTTGGGAACTGGCACATATTTCCTGGTTGGTGCCCGTTCAGATATCTTTGTGGACAGCAATGGTGATATCCAAACTTTAATTTCTATGTTTCTCTCTTTTTAGTTCCTCTGCATGAAGATTTGGAGGAAAATACTCCACCTGTCCCCGAATCAGAGGCAGTGTCACGATTTGTGGGGAAAATGAAGGGTATTCAGGGTCATATAAACTCTTGTTACCTGGATGCTACTCTCTTCAGGTAAAATCTTTGCAACCTTACCCTTCTTATGAAGCCCATACTTTGTTGTTTTTTAACTGAAGATTACTAACCAAATTTCACACACATGTAAAAAAATTTTCTCAGTTTGTTTAGTTCATCTGTAACTGTGGATGCCATCTGCAACAAGCCTGCTGACAACGAGCAACCAATAACCTGCATTCTAAAATCAATAGTCAATCGCCTACGCAGGTAACATAGATTTTAACAGTGCTTATCATTTTCTTCTTTAGATTCCTTCCTACTTTTGGTACAAATTTTCCACTTGTTTTTTACCTACTTTGGTCTAAAGTATTTCTTCAATGCAGACAAGGCTTTGTGCCAGCGGAGATTGTGATGAACTTTCGTAAAAAACTCGGATGCGAAACCTTCAGCAAAAATGAAAAAGGTATGTGCCATTTTACTGCAGTAGATATGGTTCGTTGCAGAGGTAATTTTAGGGAGTTTTCAAGCATATTTTCAAAAGCAAATATGAAAAGTGTGGAACATATTTACTCCAACACCCTTAAATTAAACACACTGGAAAATGCTGTGAGTGTTGGAAAACAAACACTGTACATCAAACGTAAACGCTTTACCCCCAACGTGGAACATGGTGGCGGTAGTGGGATGCTGTGGGATTTCTTTTTTTTTAGCAATAAAATGGCAGCTAGTTACGAGTTGCTAGGAAGATGGTGGAGTTATAAACAGGAAGAAAACCTGCTGGAGGCTGCAAAAAGGTTCAAGATTGGGAAGAGATTCATCTCCCAAAAGATCAATGACACTAAACACAAAGCCAGAAAGCTGTAATTGTGTAGTTCAGTCAAACTATGTTTAGAATGGTCTTGCAAAAGTTCAGAACCAAATCCAGCCTGCAGTCCTTAAGAAATCGGTCAAATTCACAAAATCTTGAGCTATTCTGAATATAATTGGCAAACTGTTTTGTTTTATTTGCCTAAAGTCTGAAGAAATGTATCTAAAAAAAAAGTCTTTACTCCTCAGGGCTAAATTGAAATAAACACTGCGTTTTGCAGTGTTTATTTCTTTGAAAAACAATCCTAAAACCATTTCTTCTGAGTCAGTTATGCACTGCATGGTGTATTAAATTGTGGGAACACTTTAATACTTTTAAAAGTCAGTTTAATGAAGTCTAAACTGGTGCTTCAATCTTAACGGTTTGCTTTGCTTTCCCCCAACATAGATGCTGAGGAGTTCATTACAGTGCTCTTTCAGAAGGTGCTCTGCATCGAGCCTCTGCTTAAGCTCAGGTAGATCCGTACAACCAGTGTGTTGCTTTCATACATCAAACTTTGAGACAAATATTTACGTTTCTGAACATCTGCGTCTCCATAGATCAGCAGGAGGAACGTCTCAGGGAGCCTACACCCTTCAGATCTTTCTTGAAAAGGAGCAGATGGGACAGACGCCCACCGTCCAATTGCTGCTGGACACATCCTGCATGTCAAGTGACATCAAATTCGAAACTGTAAGCCCAAATTTCTTAAGACTTAAACTTTCTTTCTATATATAAATTAATATGAAAAAAAAACTTTTCTATTCTCTCCCTTAGATGCCATCTTGTCTCATAATCCAGATGCCAAGGTGTGGAAAAAAGTTTAAGATGTTTTCTCACATCCTTCCCACCACCGAGCTGGACATCACAGATCTCCTGTACAACTGTAAGGCACTTATCCTTAACCAATGCAATGCATTCATTTTGGAAATATGCAATATGCTTACAGATGATTTAATCTTTCACAGCTCCAAGGGAATGTTTTATCTGTGGACAGCTGGCTAAGTTTGAGTGTCTTCAGTGTTTACCAGATAGCAAACTTCAACCAGGAAAAATCAAACAGTACTGCAGTACCTGTAACACTCAGGTAGGCCTGGAAACAAGTGAAAAAACAAAAAATAATCCACCGACTAGGCTTGCAGTGTGAAATGTTTAACTCTTGATATCTTCTTAAGGTGCACACCCATCGATCCCGGTGCAGCCACTCTCCCAGGGCGCTAGCTTTACCTGAAGGTGTAGCTGCTGATGTCCCTTTGCAGAGGCACACTATGCAGTTGTTTGGTGTGCTTTGCATTCAAACCAGCCACTATGTGTCCTTCGTCAAATATGGCTCTGATTCTCACTCATGGCTCTTTTTTGACTCCATGGCAGACAGATATGGTAAACTTAGCTTTTTTCTCTCTTTTTTTTCTTTTTTACCTTGCAAAAATATCCTCGAAAGAAAGTTTATTTTGTTTGCACGGGGATAAGCTTTTGGTTTGGAGGCATTCCTCTTGACTAGTGTATTTTCGCTTTAACTCAACCTTGACCGAAACAGATAAAGAACAAGTTGAGAGAAACTCTGACGTCTTTCAGCTGCCCTGTTTATCTCACTTGAAGGTGATCTCTATTCTAATCTTAAGGCCATTCTCCTCTTGCAGGCGATGATCAGAATGGTTACAACATTCCTGAGGTCCGGGCTTGTCCAGAGCTGGGTGACTTCCTCAGCCAACCAGAGGAGGAGTTGACCCGGGCCAACCCAGCTCTTGCTCCAGAGCTGGTCCGCCGACTTCTTTGCGACTCCTACATGTTTCTATATCACAGCCCAGAAACATCGGTTTCGAAGACAGGAAACGACCCTACACTTGTTTAGCACAAGGACTTGGTGTTCCACAACAACGCCCTAATCCACTTCTATGCACTTTATTGCATCCAGACAGCAGGCACTGACATGGATGGTTTGAACTTTACCTAAAATGGTAGAAATGCAGTTAAGATTGAGCAATTTGAAAGGTCATACTCTTAGCTGATGCCGATTTGTGTGAGACACAGTCGGCTCATAAAGCTGCAGAATGGAAATTATATTTGAAAAAAAAGATATTTTATGTGTGTATTTATATATACACTCTATTTTTAGGTTATGCTTCTTATCAGAAAAGAAAAAAAAAACTTTTTTTCTTTTAGGCTCCTCAAGGACTTGGATGACATCTTTTATATGGACTGAATTTATGTAATGATTTTTGTTCACTTGGACCAGTCCAAGCGCTTTATGCCAGAGCCACTCTCCCCAACTCACACACATACGCAGATCTGGGTTAAGAGCTTTGATGTGTATTAGTGCAAGTTAGAAATCATGGGCTGTTCACCATTCCCACTGAGCCACAGTCAAACGCTATTCATACAAAACTGTGGTTCTGATTGCAATTCATGATGTTGCAACATGAAGACTACTGTGCTGGCTGCTGCTTCTATTGTTGCACCTAATCTTATATATATTTCTTATTAAAATGTAAAAACTACTGCAGTTAACCTGTTTGTCGTTTATACAAAATCCTATAAGGGGTGTTAATAATGTTGGTTTAAGTCATAGCTTACAAATACATTTATTGCATGTTAACAAGTAATACATTAGTATTTATTTGACTGAAATTTAATGTAAAAAGTTTCAAAGTTAATCTAAAGAGTCTGCTTTTAGCGTCAGAACATGCTCATTCCAAAAAAGAAAAGAAAAAAAACACTGGACTTTGTTTTCCAAGTTTGGAAATTTTACGTTTTGCTTCCCATCCAGGAACTTTTTTCAATTCAAGATGTCTGGATTATCGTTGAGATTAGCGTTGAATTCCAGGCTTTATAGAGTAGCCAAACAAAACGCTAATCCAGACATCTTGCATTGAAAAAGTTTCAATGGATGGAAAGCAAAATTGCTTCAAACTTCTAAAACAAAGTGCAGTGTTTTGGGGTTTTTTTTTGTTTTTTTGTTTTTTACATTTTTTGGAAAAACTTTGACCTAATTGACTGAAAATCTTCACCAGAATAACCGAACATGAAGGGAAGCTAAGAAGCTGTTGTTCTCTGGGATGCCAATGACCTCAACCCCTGCCTTGCTATTGTCCTCTCCTGGTTGTAGTTCTCATGTCATTGTTTTTAGTATTGAAACGAGTAAAGAAGAAAGTCAGTACAGTAAATTAGTTGTCGAAATGTCAAATCTATTGGGCATTATGGATATTTAAAAAAAATTCTTACTCTCTATTTAAGATAACAATTGCTTTGAATTGAATTTGCATTACATACATTTTTTGCACAGAAAATTGGTTTATTGTTGTAAGCATACAAAATATGAAACTCAGTATTTTAAACAGAGAGCAGTAACGACAGCAAAAGGCAATAATATCCGTTTTAATTCAGATCCCAAAATAAAAATATTTTTGCACTGTTTCCAAATCCCCACTAGAGGGTGACAAAACATAACCTTTTTGTGCTCGGCTGTCATACAATTGTGCTTGAAAGTTCACTTACCCTACTATTAAAGAAAACGATAATTTCACACTAGAAATTCTAATAATGCAAAATAAAAAATATGTAATAAATAAAATTTACTAAACGTTAATCCAGTAAAATAATGCATTGATTTTGATTTTGTTTTAAGAAAATTCCGTAAAAATTCAAAAAATATCCACTGGACTTGGTTTTCAAGATTTGAAGACGTTTCGCCACCTCTCCAGGAAGCTTTCTCAATTCAAATGGTCTTTTAAGAAAATTCTTAAAAAACAAACTACCTTGCTCACAAAAGGTACACAAACATACCTGTTTACAGGTTCAGAAGTCATTAATTAATTAGCAGTTGAGTTTTTTTCTGTCTTTAATGGAAGGGTATATAATCTATAAAGCACAACAGTATTTACCATGTATTATTATGAGCACTTTGATGTCACACAGATACTTTCTCACAGCTTCATCCAGCGTATTGTCCAAGTAGATAAGGAAGATCTGGATCAGATGGTAATTTTAAGGTAAGGATGTGATTAAAAGTGAGTCTTTCAACCAAAGTCTCTGAAAGAAGGGTGGTTTTCAGTCTTTTGCATCATCAAAACAATTAAAAACAAAGAACTGAAGTAGAATGAACTACTAGAAAGAATAGAGCAAGTGTCACATCTGAAACACTCAAAATCCACTAAAACTGTAGAATAAGTACCAGAATTTGGTTCAGGCTGCAATGTGAAAAGTTACATTAGCTCAGTGTTTCTTCACATTAAAAGCAGTTATTCATAGAAGAGATCCCAGGGGAATGAGACCCTTGGGAAAACCTGAAAGTCCCTGAAGGAAATGCAGATTTCCTCTGATCTGGGAACGCCTTGGGATTCCCTGAGGTGGAGAATGTTGCTGTAGAGAGGGATGTTTGGTTTGCCCTTCTGGACTGGTTGTTTTGGACTTTGAGAGGAGGGCTATAATTAGATCTAAAGTAGAATAGAATAGAAAGAATTCCGGTTTTAGTAAACATATTAACATAGTTAATCCAGTTTTAAGATAATTACCATTATCTTCATTTAAATTCACTGGCATGTTTAATAAAACCCTGTATAATTTTTTTAAATGATTAATAAAAAAGTGCTTATATTTACTTCAAAAATGTTGTTAAAATCAAGGCTGACTGAGATTGTGCAGCGCTTAAATGGTTGGTGAATGAAATGGGCCAGCTGGCCAAAGTCGACCTTTAAATTTGAAGCTAAATAATCTGTTTATAATAATTATTTTTGTTTGTTTAAATCAGGGAATGTGTTTATACTCAAGTGTGCACTGACAACATCCTTCAGTACTACTGGGCAGAAAGACTCAAAGATGTGAGAGGAAGCACAACAGCTGCAAGAAGCTGATGAAAAGGAATATTTCCTTTTGGTTTGGGAGACATTTAGACTCCCATAAATCAACAGAGAAGAAAAACTTAATCAGCTGTACTGCTATTTGAATAAAGAGTAGAATAGAATTCAGGTTATTATTGTTTTTTATTTCTGTTAAAATCCAAGCCACTGATTTTTGTATCTTGTTTTTAACGTAACCAGTGAAAAGTAAAAAGGAACCTTTTATTACTCACTCATTGTAAAAATGTTATGAAACCATGAACCAGAAAATTAAAAGTGACACTTATCTGCACCTCCTCTGGTTTTTAACACAGCTTGAAAATTTTCAGCCAAAAACTACTCTTAAAAGCAATTATTTACAGATTAGGTTCATGTTATTAATTCAAATTAACAAAATATTTTGACTTTCTCTCAATAGGACCTCGTTAAAAAATGGTATACGATATTAACATAGGATGTCTATGGATCTCAACCTTGGATGCCTTGATTGTGTGTTGGAAGATCACTTTATTGTCTTTTCTCAGTTTTGGCAAATGTCCAAGGTATTTTGATAAAGAAAATCAGTTAAAGTCTGTCATATGGTTGTTAACATCCCAGATTTTGCAAACAGATGTTTTCAATTCAGCTTATAAATTCTACATCAGATTAAGCTTAAGGAGCTAATTTTACCAATCTAATGTGTATTTTCTCTGGAAGAGAATGAAATCAACTGATTCATTCGTTCTGTAATGAGGATTCCAACAACCTAATCAGATCTTGTTGCTCTGGAATTATATTGAGTGTAGCTTAAAATAGCAAAAGCGTCCAAATTTTGTTTTATAACTCCAAGATAGAATGTATTTAGAGTGGTGGAGAGCCATGGATTGAGATGATACATTATTTTACATTTTTCCCAAATAAGATCCTGAATGAGCTCCATCTGTTCATTCTGATTCCAGAATAAAACACCTTTTATTGCCAAAAGATTTTTCTGTTTAGCTTTGATGCAACAATGGCCCATGACTATGTGTTTAACTCTCTTAATTTAGAATTCTCTGGTAAAATTAAATATTTTTTTTGTTTCGTTTTTTTTTTTTTGTGTGTTAGCCCTTAACATCCATGATTATTTTTTACTAACCGAGGAAAATAAGTATTGGAACACCCTGCTGTTTTGCAAGTACTGCCACTTAGAAATCATGGAGGGGTCTGAAATTGTCATCATAGGTGCATGTCCAGAAATCACAATATAAGATATTTTCTAACTATTTATTTGTATGATAAGGCTGCAAATAAGTATTTGAACACATGAGAAATTTTATGTTAATATGTGGAACAATAGCCTTTGTTTGCAACAGAGGTCAAACGTTTCCTGTAGTTTTTCACCAGATTTGTACACTCTGCAGGAGGGATTTTGGCCCACTCCTCCACACAGCTCTAACAGCTAGAACTCTGACCTTCAAAGACTTGTTAATCTACCTTCAAAATGTCCACCTACACTCCATTTATTATCCTAAATTAGATGCAACTGTTTGAGGTTGTTAGCTGCATAAAGACACCTATCCACTCCATACAATCAGTAAGAATCCAACTACTAACATGGCCAAGAGCAAAGAGCTGCCCAAAGATACTAGAGACAAAATTGTACACATCCACAAGGCTGGAAAGTGCATCAGGAAATTACTGAGCAGCTTGGTGTAAAAAGATCCACTGTTGGAGCAATCATTAGAAAAGGAAAGAGGCTAAACATGACTGTAATCTCCCTCGGGCTCCATGCAAGATCAAACCTCGTGGGGTCTCAGTCTCAGCCCAGAACTACACAGGAGGAGCTGGTCAATGACCTAAAAAGAGCTGGGACCATCGTTTCCAAGGTTACTGTTGGTAATGCACTAAGACATCATGGTTTGAAATCATGTATAGCACAGAAGGTTCCCCCAGCACATGTCAAGGCCTGCCTTAAGTTCGCCAATGACCATTTGGATGATCCAGAGGAGTCATGGGAGAAAGTCATGTGCTCAGATGAGACCAAAATAGAACTTTTTGGTCATGATTCTACTAAACGTGAATGGAGGAAGAAGAATGATGAGTACTATCCCAAGAACACCATCCCTACTGCGAAGCATGGGGGTGGTAGTATTGTGCTTTGAGGGTGTTTTTCTGCACACGGTACAGGGTGACTGCACTGTATTAAGGAAAGGATGATTGGGGCCATGTATTACCAGATTTTGGGGAAGAACCCCCTTACCTCAGAGCACTGAAGATGGATCGAGGCTGGGTCTTCGAAAATGACAATGACCCACAGCATACAGACATGATAAACAAGGAGTGTCTCTGTAAGAAACATATTAAGTTTCTGACGTGGCCTAGCCAGTCTCCAGACCTAAACCTACTGTGATAGAGAATCTTTGGAGGGAGCTCAAATTCTGTGTTTCTAAGTAAAAGCCCAGAAATTTGACTGATCTAGAGAAAATCTGCAAGGAGGAGTGGGCCAAAATCCCTCCTGCAGTGCATGGAAACCTGCTAAAAAAAAACAGAAAACCTTTGACCTCTGTAATTGCAAACAAAGGCTACTGTACGATATATTTACATTGATTTTCTCAGGTGTTCAAATACTTATTTGCAGCTATATCATACAAGTAAATACTTTAAAAAAATATATTGTGGTTTCTGGATTTATTTATTTTTTATTATGTCTCT